GTGAGAAGGTGACCATTTGCAAACCATGGAGATTGATCTCAGGAGAGACCAAACCTGCTAACACTTTGATCTTGAATTTCTAGCCTCCAGAACTGTGAGAAAGTAAATTTCAGTTGTTGCAGCCACCTTGTCTGCAGTACTGTGTTATGGTAGCCCTGTCAACCAGATACCCGGGCTCTAGTGCAGAAACTGATGTGAGAAACTGCCTGCCATCTTGTAAGCCAGACATTGAAGAGATTTGTGGAAATGTAAAACAGTACCACTCTCTAATTTGGTGGGGACAATGGAAATATAGTTTGTTCTCATAAAATACATTTTTAAAAATGTAAAATGGATGTTGTTTTTTAAATAAGTTTATAAAAAATTTATTTTTAAGTACAGTAAACATCTATATATCAATCAATATACAGAACGTGCGTGTGTGTGTGTGTGCGTGTGTGTGTGACATAAAGGTTCTTTGGGGTTCTTAGTAATGTTTGAATGTAAAGAGCTCCTGAGGCCAGGAAGGTTGAGAACCGCTGCACTATACCGTACTTCCCTCCAAATGAGATCGTGTTGTTCATATTACTGTGGTTTAGAAGTGTCCCACAGAGGTCCGTGTGGTGAAGGATTCATCACCAGGCTGTGACACTGGGAGGTGGTAGAACCTTTAGGAGGTGGGTCCTCATGGGAGGAGGTGAGGTCATTGGAGGTTCCCTGGCTGCCTCTCATCTCTTTGCTTCCCGGCTGCTGTGGGGTGAATAGGCCTCCTGCTTCATGTTTGTGTCCTGCTCAACATACAGTGCCATGACAGGGCCAGAGCAGCAGGGCCAAGTGATCATGGCCTAAAACCCTAGGACAAATGGACTTGACCTTCTTAAAGGTTGATTGTGTCATGCTCTTCTCTGCTTCCCGGCTGCCATGAGCCAACAGCTCTCTTCCGYGTGTCCTTCTGCCACGATGTTCCGCCGCACCTCAGGCCCAGAGTAACGCAGCCAACTGACCGTGGACCGAAACCTTCAAATGTCTCCGTCAACAGCGAAGTCACTTAGGAATCCTGTGACTTCACAGAGCCTGCTGTGCTTTTGTATTATTGACCAACTTGAGAAAAATGCATGATTTGATTCATGAAATCAAGAGTCATTTTGTTTGCCTGACTGGTCATGTGACTGCTGGGAGGCTTTACTCCCACAGGAGTCTAGAGTTCACCAAGAGATAACTTAGATGGTGTGGGCTAAAGCATGTGCATCACTACTACTAGTACTGCTATGATTATTAGGTACTGGGGTTTGAATCCAGGGGTGCACTACCACCGAACTACATCCCAAGTCCTTGTTAAATTTTCATTATGAGACAGTCTCACTAAGTTGCTGAGGTTGGCCCTGAACTTGTGATCCTCCTGCCTCAGATTCCTGAGTTGCTAGGATACTGGCAGCACCACCATAACTGGCTAGAGAAGTGTATTTTAAAACTTTGCCTCTACTCTGGATAAATCTGATGACTGGCCAGATTTTGGAAGTCTAACAGACTATTTTATAGCCTCCATGACAGACAGTACCTCCACATGTGGTTTCCACCAGAAAGGATGCTTCATAGGGAATCATAGGWGTATTCTAGAACAGCCCTGCAATAAGGGTTTCTTTTTTTCAGATTGAATCAACCTGTGTAATGTTACCTCTCACAGGAATTACGTGGTCTTGAAACTTCTCTGCCATACATTGACCTCTGTAATAGCACAGGTTCACTGGAGTGACAATGCTGACAGCTTTGTCAACACATTTAAAAAGAAAAGCATCTTCTCCTGCMTATAGAAACCTGTAGTAGACATGTCATAGTGTCTAAAAATGTCCTATATTTTAAGATGTACATAGCAAAAACTATAGTTTATGAAAATTTTGTTCTTTAAATTTTAAGTAGGTTGTAACGGTGTCAGTCATTACAATAAGTAATTCATTTATTCAGTCTTGTACTTTGTGCCCTGTACTATAATGGKAACTAAGAACATGTAGGTGCCTACTCTCATGAGGAAAATAGCAAAAAAGTAGACAAAATTGTAAAACAATTACTATGTGATAACTGCTGAGGAGGAAGATAACAATTACTGATCATCAGTGACTGATAGGAGAATATCAAAGAATCAGATACAAGAATGTGACAATTTCAGAGCATTCTCTATTTTGTTTGCCTGACTGGTCATGTGACTGCTGGGATGGTTGTAGAGTGGCACATCAGGACAGCTCAAGGAGAAAAGAATTAAGTAGAATATAAACAGATCTTCCCTGACATTTTTAAAATCTTTTCAGCAAGAAGTTAATGAAACTATCAGATGGGCTTAGTTATGTGATTCTATTGTATTTGTAATTTACTTTCTGTTTGCCTTTGCTTTATCATTGTGTATTTATACCTCCTAAGTTATTTCTCAGCAACACTTTTTTTGGCAAAGTTCTTAAATAACTTATTTGACAAAAAAATGCTGATTATCTCAAGTATTTTGTCACGGTAACACAAAGCTGACTAGCAAAAAAAAWTTTTTTTTCAGYGCTACAGATTAAACCCAAGGACTTAACACATGCTAGAGAAATACTCTACCACTGACCTACTACATCTGTAGCCCCGAATACATGGTCTGCAATGAGCTTTTGTTATTCAGTAATGTGTAGTTGATTACATTGATTGTCAGGGTATACATATCTACATCATTATTTTAATGTTTGCACAATAGTCCCTTGTAGGTCTTTTTTTTTTTTTTTAACAGTCCTTTGTAGGTATGTTTTTAACTAGTCGATCCCAGAGTAATAGACATTGAATTGGTTTCTAGGTTTAGCTATTATGAATAATTCTGGAGTGAATGTCTTTGTGCGTGTATCTTTTTTTGGTGCTTGTGGTGTCATCTAGACATGGGACCAAATGGCTTTTAAGATGTTGTTAAATTTGGGTTTCTTATTGGAAGAGTAAGATACCCTTCATTTTATATTGCTAAATATTCAAATGCAGAAGAAAGATGCATAAAGTACATTTACCATTTAGCCAATACACCCAACAGTTCCTCATGTTTGGGGCCTTTGGTTTGAAAAGGCTGAATTGCCAGTAATTCTCACATATATTAGGAAAAACTTTTCTCCTTTTTGTAAACTAAAATTATTGGCCATTTTCTTATAGCCCTTATAGCCAATCTGGAAATTTGGATTCTGCCTTTTAAATAGCTTTACCTTTGGCCAGCTAAAGATCTTGGGCTGTGGTTGTTTGCTAATACTGACCCAGYTTGAAGGTGTGGGGGAAGACAGGTTCCCTGGAGAAGCTGCTTAGGAGTGTAGAAAACATTCTCATCTTAACGGGTCTGGACACAGCTCTGGTCTTGTTGATGGGCATCTTATCAACACCTCACCAAACTTTTTTTTTTTTTTTTTGAGTGTCTGTGTGTGTGTGGTGGGGAGCAGGGGACTAGGGATTGAGCCTAGGCCTCACCCATACTATTCAAGTGTTCTAGTACTCAGCTATGTCTCCAGCCCTTTTTATATTTTGAGACAGGATTTCACTAAGTTGCCCAGGCTGGCCTTGAACTTTCAATCTTCCTGCTTCAGCTTCCTGATGTGTGCCAAAGTGCCCAGCACCCAAACTCCAATAGGCAACTCTGGTAACTCTAGCAGATAGGGGCTTTCTAAAATGATACCAGAGCTATGGCATCACTGCCTTAGAGATACGTAGTTAGCTTTGCTAAAAGGTTAGGGTTGGAAAAGATGGCAAATTTTGATAAATCTTCAAAACTATGGGGACATCAGGGCCCTCCAACCTGAAAGAACTTACTTTTTAAATGTCCCATTATGCCCACTTAGTATGTCACAGTAATCTTATGACATTAGTGGTATTACATTAGTTATAGATAGAAAATGGGATCCTTGCTGGGCACTGCATCACATGCTTATAATCCCAGTCACTCAGGGGGCTGAGGCAGAAGGATTACAAGTTCGAGTCCAACCTCAGTAACTTAGCGGACCCTGTCCAAAAACAAACAAAAAGGGCTGAGAATGTAGCTCAGTGGTAAAGTGCTCCTGGGTTCAAACCCCAGTATACCCCCACCTCCTGCCCCTGCCAAAAAGAAAATGGGATTCTCCTACCTCCCCCAAGGCTGTGTGAAAATAAGCTGTATTATTCTACCACACAGCACAACAGCCACCCATCTATTGTGATATGAAGACTTCGGTGGCCAGGACCTGCTGCAACTCCACCACTAGATCCACTTGTAAAGGAAACAAGAATACACGGAAAGGGAGCTATTGTTTTCTTTTTCCCCAAGGGAACCCCAACCCCAACCACTGAAACATTAAAAGTTCCCAAACAGGCAGGACTCTGAGTGACTATAAACCTTGTAACCTGTTTTTTCCTTCTGATTAAAATAGTGTTTTTCATTGCCTTTGATTTTTTAAGATCACAGCAGCCAAGTCTTTTATGAAAACACAATCCAGGGCTTGGGTCCCAAAAGTTCAATATTTTTTGTCCTGTCCGATTATCTGTTTCCTCTGCAATTCATTGTTAATGTAAACCTTACCTTCATTTCTGCTCTGATCCTGGGACTCTGCCCAGCCTCCGGCCTTCCCMGCTGGTATGTGAGCACATTTCTATGAGCAGTGAGGAGGGTCACAGTTTTAACAAAAAAAACCCTAAACACCTCCAACACAACCAGCCACCCCCATCTTATCTCCTTCCCTATTGGCTTATTACAATGAAGAAAAGTCAAAACCACAAGCAAATGTGCCTTTTCCAGATTTGCAGATGAAATGACCAGACATTTGCCTTTTAGGGTTGCCCTAAGAAGAGCTAACAAAAGGGTAACAGACCCTACACAGCTGCTTGGGGAGGAGGACATCTGCCCCTGTTTCACCAGCAATTCAGTGCCCAGGCCTTGCCTTGAAAAGAGCAGGAGGGGTTAGGCAGCAATAGTTCTGAGGCAGCCAGTTGTTATATGGCTTTTGTCTTAAGGAAGCCACCCATTACGGTAGAGCCATAACTCGCAGGAAGCCAGCTGTCAGGGCTGTGGCGCAGGTCCCTCCGGGTGGGAGGCAGGGGTAGGAAAAACAGTCTGTGGCCAAATTCCCTTTTAGACACCTGAGCCTGGCTGGGTTTGTAACCGGAGAGTTTTGCGTCTTTTCCCCAACCCCATCTTCCCTGGGGAGATCCCGGGGCCCTTCTCTCCACCCTTGGGGAGACTGCAGGGACATTTCGGGGTTCTGCTTCCTTGGTCTGCAACTCCCTGAGCGCTTGGGCTGCGCTGCGGCTGGCTGGCGATGGGCGCTCTGATCCTGCGCTCGCTTTGAAATCTACCCCCTCCTTTTTTTTTTTTTTTCCCCAAGCCAGGTATGATGATGTCAAACGTGATGCCGATGCTACAGTTACAGACACGGCCCCTGCTGGCGCAGCCTCTCTGATTCTCTCTCCCTCCGCGTCCAGTGCTGGGCTTTTTCAGACAAGTGCATCTTCTAACCAGGTCACATTTCAGCCGCGACCCACCCTCCGTCAGTCACTAGAGTCAGACCGCAGGAGGAGGGCTGAGGACAGCAGCATTTCCTTCGCCAACAACGGGGTGGAGGGAAGGACGTTTAAATCCTGCAAAAGTCAAGACCCCCCAGGACCAACCCACACCACGATGCGCGCCCCGAGCTGCGGGCGACTGGCTCTGCCGCTGCTGCTGCTCGCCGCAGCCGCCCTGGCCGAAGGCGACGCCAAAGGGCTCAAGGAGGGCGAGACCCCCGGCAATTTCATGGAGGACGAGCAATGGCTGTCGTCCATCTCTCAGTACAGCGGCAAGATCAAGCACTGGAACCGCTTCCGAGACGTAAGTCCGCCGGGCGCCGCGGGCCGAGGGCTCGGGCTCAGGTCTGGGGAGCGAGCTTCGGAGTGGAGACCCCCGCGCGGAAAGCGCAGGAGCGGTCTCTGCGCGTCGGAGCCCGAGGCTCCCGCAGCCCCGCGGGCTAATTACGGCGAGAGTAAACAGCACCCAGAAAGTCCCAGCCCGGGCCCCCTCCCGGGTCCCCGCGGGCAGCGGCCTTGGGACCCCCAGTCTCGCACCCACTAGAGCAAGTCCCAGGCCAGGAGACGCTCCGGGTGCGCGCSCTCGAGACGGGGTCTCCCCGCAGGCCGGGCGTGGAGATGGGGTGTGGGGTGTGAGGACTGGGGCCCCGGCTGCGTGTGGGCCCGACCGCCTCTCCGTCCTGTGAGCCGTCCCCGGGCCTACCCCAGCCCGGTGGGTGCGGCGGGCCCCACATACGGGGCACTGCAGAAGGCACAGGTCTGGGTGGGGCTGGCGGGAAGGTAGCGCCTTACAGCGTGGGTGCCCACTGTTCCCACCTTGGGCTTTGTGGGAGGGGGACAGAAGGGGCAGGGACCGTGGCCTTGAGTTGCGGGGTCCAAGCAACCCTCATAAGGTGAGATGGTAAAAGGTGTGTCCGTAATGGAGGGCAGGTGACAGCCGTGAAAATGTCCGAGGCTACCTCTGGGTGGCTGCCAGAACCGATTCTGGGGTCCCCAAGCGGAGAGGCGCTCTTACCAACCGAGGCTCATTTTCCTGGATCAACCTGGGGGCGGGGGGCCACCCAGGGCAGGGGGAGGGCTCCCAACCCGAGGGAAGAGTCTGTGGCCGGGGTTCTGAGAAGCAGAGGGGAGAGTCCAGAAGCTGGGTCTCGGGGCCTTGGCGGACGCCCGCCCAAACCCCGGCTTAACCTTGAGCCGAACTTTGCGGGGTGGGGGGCGGGGAGGCGGGAGGCGGCTGCGGACTAGTCGGTGTCGCTGCAGCACTTTGTTTACCGGCACCTGTAGATCCAGGGGAAATCGGAGGCGGCATTCCCAGAGGGGCCGCGCCTGCCTCCGGCCTGGCGGGGTGCGGTGGGCAGGGGTGAGAGAAGGAGGGTGTGGCCGGCTCCTGAGAACCGTGGGGGGCCAGGTGGGGGATGGGCCGGATGCGCCCGAGGAGATGCAGCGGGTCCGGTGACCAGGCGCTAGCTGACGCCCGGACCCTAGAAAGCCTCTTCTAGGACCCCTATTCCCYATTTTTACTTCTCGGGATTGCCCAGATTCTATCTTCAGAGCCACTTAGTACAACACAGGCCACACCTGATCTTCCTCATTTTCTCCTAAACTGCGTGCATCCACAAGTTCCTTAGAAATGTTTTAAAAACATGCACCATGCATTTTCTCTCCAGCCACATGATGGGAAAAGGCAGAGATACGGATCTTTTTGTTATCCTGAGACAAGTGACTGTTACTCCCCAAAGTCAGACCGGCGGGTTGTAATTCACAAAGGAAAGGAGGAACCACAGRCAGCCAGGTTTCAAGGCTGAGGTGCCTGGCCCCGAGAGGACTGTTGGTCCCCAGTGTTTGCCCACCCAGGGTTGGTCCAGCCCGGGAGTCTAGAACCCCAGCAAAAACCTTCTCCAGGCACCTGCTGGCCCAGCCCAGATTAGCCGCAGTCTCCTGCGGCTGCCTGGGCAGCAGCCCTGGGGCCCAGCAGTGAGGGGGCGGCAGCAGGCTGGACCATCCGGAATCCATGTGTCACTGGTCTCGGCCTCCCTGGGACTGCTGGCTGTTTGATCTGCCGAAATGGGACTAGTGAAGGTCAGAGGGAAAAGAAATGCTTAATCAAAACAGTGAAGGTTAAAAAATAAGATTCTTTCTACTTCCCTTTCTCCACCTGCTTCCAGTAGCCAGTGGGTGAGAATAAATGACGGACTGCTTGACCCCCCCCCTCTCCCCAGCACAGGGTTGCCCACCTGTCTCCCTGTATCGGTGCCAACCATTTCCCCTTCCTCCCATGCTCATCAGAGGAAAAGCACCCCATTTGAAATTCTGCAGGTACTACCCCCATATGAAAAGCTTTGGGGCATATGTTGATGGAGGGGGTGGGGGGGCTCCGGCTTTAGTAGGGCTGATTTCCTCCAAAACCCCATTAAAGGTAGCCCTGGCTGCAGAAGGACAGGGTCAGGAGAGAAGTAGGACAAAGACTGGGTARGAGGGCCTAGCCATGGGGGTCTGTTGGCAGCTTCTGCAGAAAGGCAAGAAGGAGGCTGCTAGCCCAGAGCCAGGGCATTGCATAACTCTAGTGGTGCCACAGTGTGAATGGTGCCCCCTGGAGTTGTGCAGTGCACAGACTGTAAACAGGAACTCTGCCAGCACTACAAACACTTCTTATCCTTCCTTTGCCAGTAAAGATTCTGCCTCCCATCCTTTCAGCGAAAGGTCCTCCAGCAGGGCACAGTAGCATCAATCTTTATACACAATTTCAGCAGGCAGCTCTCTCCCCACAGGAAAGAAAGGRATTTCTTTTGAATCCCTATGGGGTTGCCAGGTTGAGCTTGAACCCATCACACAATGGCTCAAGGTCTTCTAGTTTGCCCAGGTGGGAAGGAGGCAAGCAGGAGGAGGATCCGATTTCTCAGGGAATAGGGTTGAGGGAATCGATGGTGGGGTGAGGGAWATATCTTTATAAATGGTGTTGAGAACTGAGTGTGTGATCGAAGGGGTCAGGAGAACAGAGAAGAGGAAGAACGCTTGGGAGTGGCTCCAATTTGGCCTTGGTCGGAGCTGGTAGGAGGTGTTCAGTTTAGCATTCTTTCTTTGAGCTCTAGGATTATAGGGGAGGCAGGATTTGCCAGCTGAGTAATCCTCCCCTCCAGTGGGCACATCTAATGCCCAGCATCCTGCTGCCAGGGAGGAGGACATTCATGTTCAAGGAGATGGGGAGGCTCCCAGGCCACAAATCTGGCTGTGCTCTGCCCTGAGCAGTCTTGAACTTTTCCAAGCCCTGCTCTCTAGTGCTCTTATCTCCAAATTCACTCCCTGCAAAATTGGGTGGGACTTTTACGGCAAGTCTTTGGAACAAAACACACAGGATATAGATGAGGTGAACACGCGAGAAGAGATGGCCCATTACACAGCATCTGCAGGGCAGGCTCCCCGGAGCTTGGTGAGGAAGAACTGACTGTTCTCTTTCTCCCTGGCTCTTCTCTACCTTGTACTCCACTTCCATAAAATTTTAATTTATTTGCAAGTGTCTGGCATAATGCTTGGCACCAGAGGCACACAGTTAATACATGTCCCATTGCCAACTGCAATGAGCAACGCATCTTGCTGTCCCTGCCATGGGCTCTGTATATTCGTTGTCTCCTGTGGGATGGTTATTGTTCCTTTATAGTCTACACATGTTATGGGAGAGGAAATTGAGACCCAGAAAAATTGATAATTTATCCAAGGGACAAGTAGCTAGGAAGTGGGGGACCTGGGATTTGAACCCAGGTCATCTATTTCTGCTTTGCTTTTCAGGATACACTGGGACTAATCCTTAGTGACTATGAGAAGGAAGGGTCCACCCTGAAGAGCAAAGCCTCATGTCCTATCAGGATGCCCGGGGCAGGAGCAGACCTCCTTGGAAGGTGGCCCAAAGCCCCCTGTCTCTTGCAGCCCATCACCGGCGGGTCCCTACCAGGCCTAGCAACAGCCCAAAGGCAGCTGTCCACTCAGCAGGATGCAGGGTGCAGTGTGCTGGGATAGCCTGGCTTGGGTTCAGGATGCCAGGCCTGTCACATCACCCTTCTGAGTTTCATGGTTCCATAGTGAAAGAATGCATACATGTGGAGGCATCCTCTGCAAGGGCCTGGGGCATCCGTTTCAGGAAATACCCTTCCCCACAGAGAAACCACCAGGTGGATCATTGTATTTTCTGGAACTGGCCTACACTAGGCCCCAGTCTCCATGCAAAGGACATTCATGTTCACTAACTCCCTCATTCATGGCAGATCTGAGCGCCTCCTGCATGTCAGGGACTTCACTGTGACCCTGGGCATTGACTCAGGGGTGTTATTATCTGCCAGCTGCATGATTCTCCTGTTTTGTTTGTTTTGGGGTGCTGGGGATTGAACCCAGGGGTGCTCTATCACTGAGCAACACAACACCCCCAGCCCCCTTTTATTTATTTGTGTGATCCTGTAGCTGTGCTACATCCCCAGCTCTTCTTTTAAATTCTGAGACAGGGTCTCACTATGTTTGTCCAGTCTGACCTCCAACTTGTGATCCTCCTGCCTCAGCCTCCAGAGCAGCTGGGATTACAGGTGTKCATGACCACACCAGGCTGACTTTCCTGTTTTTCTGAGCACGAAGTAGGCCCATGGGGAATATGAGTCACACAGGGGCTCCTGGAGAGTTCCCCTCCATCTCTCTGACCCCCCATACCTGAACCCATACAAGTGTCGGGAGATGTTTGTGGGGAGTGTGGGTGTGCAAAAAGAACCCAAAACTGGGTCAGAAGGGATTCTGCAATAGGGCTTAGGGATGGGGGGTGGGTCCTTCCCTGGCCTCCCCTTGGTTTCTAAGTCCTCTCCCCCTGGAGGAGTGGCATCTCCAGGCATAATGAGACACTCTTGAAGGCCCAGTGGGACCTGGAGCCTGGGAGGGGAGGGAGAGCCGCTGCCTGGAGGGGCTGTTGTGTGCTGTGTGCCCCCTGGTCTTGCAGGTGTCTGAAGAAGGTAGAACGCTGAGACCACCCCATTCTCCAGGAGGTCAGAAGCTGACTGAGGTGCAGGAGAGGTCTGTCCTACCCCAGGCCCCAAGTCCCAGGGGCACTGCTCCTCTTCCTMGTGAGAGGACAGACCAGCTGTGTGACCTTTTGACAGGCACTCTGCCTCTCTGGGCCTTGATTTTTCTCATTGGTGTAATGGCAGGCTTAAGAAAATGATCCACAGAGTCCTCAGCCATCTGTGATTCTGTGAAGATGGCACAAGGGCCTGTCCAGAGTCCCTCCACCTGCAGAAATGTCCTACCTGTCACCACTATAAGCTGGGCTGTAAG